CTAAGGTGTGCTTGATACAGGCAATGGTCTTTGCAATCACTTGCTATGCATCAGATAGTTGGACAGTGTCTGGGGAGGATAGAAGGAGAATTGATTCCTTTGAGCTGTGGTGTTGGAGAAGAGTATTGAATATACCATGGACTGCTAAGAAAACGAATAGGTTCATCCTAGAGAGGGTTAAATGAGGCTGCTCCTTGGAGGCAAAGATTCTAAAGCTTCGTCTGACATACTTGACATGTTGCAAGGAGGGACCAGTCCCTGGAGAAGGACGTCATGCTTGGGAGGGTGGAGGGACAATGCAGGAGAGGAAAATCTTCAATGAGGTGGGTTGATTCAGTGACTGGGTTAATCAGGATGGGTGTGTCAGAGACAGTGAGATTGGCACAGGCTAGAGCAGGGTTTAGGGCTGTTGTACATAAGGTCCCTATGAGTCACAGGCGCACATAACAACAAACAGCAACAGGTGTAGGATCAGATACAAAGTTCGCTATCTTTTTTCCAGAGTCCAAATATAAATTTAACACAGACCACATCCTTGAAAAGAGGTTTTTTTAATCAGATAAATCTGATCTTATCTTTGCAGAACCATCTCTAATCTTCGAACTATCTCTAATCCTCTCTAATTAGAATCATGGGGGGGGTGTTAAAATTTGTAACATATAAGATCTTTATGTTACACTGAGGATCATGGCCACATCGACACATTACCAATGACATACAATATCCATTGAGCTTTCATTCAAACACTAAGGTAACTGTCTATGCTGATATATAATTTTTAAATGTCATCATCAGGTTCATCTCAAAGGAACCCACATTTTTGGTTCCATGGAATGAATGTTAATCAGCCCAGCAATTAAACCTCAAAAGTTGACCCAAAACAGACATCTTATCAGTGTTTATGGGGCTGATGGGTAGGTCCATTGATGAACACAAGATAACTTAAGGGATGTCTGTGTACATAAGCTCCACAGGTGATATAAAGACATCATACTACTCCCTATTCATGGGTAATCAAGTAGCAAAGTCAGGAAGGGAAATAAGAAGGAAAAACCATCCATGTGTTTGATGATAGTTTTTCTTTGACCATTTAAGTTCTATGTGCTCCCACTGTGAGGTTTTGCATTGAAAGAGATATTTTAGTTCCTTTTTTTAAATGTGTGACTCATCTCTGTCCCTTTGCTAAACTTTCATTAGCAACTGTTATTGTATATGTCTACTAGGTATTGAGTGAGATACATAGTGCTAGTTTTTTAAACTATCATGTGATTTAAACATTTTTGTCAAGGTTTTTGTTTGTTTCTATGACTTTTCACAGGAAATGTGAGACTCTCAAGGGCAGATGGGATCACAGGACCTCAGTGTTTTCAGGAGTGCCTTTCTTTCTCATGACTCTTATTCTAGATTGCATTCTTCCTACTGTTTTCACAACCCTAGATGGATTATAGGAAGCCCTGGTGGTCTAATGGTAAGGCACTACACTGCCACCCCAGTTCAAATCCTCAGGTGCTCCATGAGAGAAAGGTGAGCAATCTCCTGAATGATTTACTGCCTCAGAAAACATTCTGGAGAGTCACCCGTGGGTTGTTTCTGACTCGATGTTACAAAACAGCAAAGGGATTATGCTCCCTTGGTACCTCATGGTTGGTGCCACCCTACCCTCTAGCTTATGTTATCACTGTTCACACTGTAGCTGTCTTTCCTCTACTAGATTGATTGTTCCTGGATTGCAGTAATCACCCTCTCTACATAGTCGCCCCAGCACCTATCAGATGTTAGGTACAGTAAAGGACGTACTGAGTGGCTAAAAACATCACAATCTCTTGGCCAGTGGGTCCAGAGTGGATAAAGCAACCCTAAGTAAAGCAACCTTAAGAGGATGTCTCAGTTAGCTAGAAAGTAAAGAAAAACACACTCTCTTAAAACACGCCATTTGCCTTTCATGTTGGTCAAGGTTTTTAAGAGACCCAAAGGAAGAAAGAGTGAGGTAACAAAATTCCTGGAAAGCAGTATTTCTTCAGAGTCTTTAAAAGCGTACAGTCTTCTGAAACCAGAAATTCTGCCTCTAAGAATTTATCCTTAGGGAAAAATATTTTGCTTTAAGGATGTTGATTATTGCCATTGTGAAGTGCCCACAGTCAATTCTGACTTATAGCAGCTACCTTATGATCAAGTAGACCTTTCCATCAAATGGGTTGAAACTTTACTTGATCCTGTGTCATCCTTAAATTTCTGCTGTGTTTAAGTCTTGTTTCAATCACTGGTTTATTGATAACATTGAAAAATTGCAATAATTATTTGTAATTTCTAAAAGATAATAATGAAATGTTGCCCAACAACTGAGAGCTAAATAGTTTCATAAATTAAAAAAAAAAAAAACAACCAAATCACACCAAACCCAACATGCCACTTGGGTGGGAGTTTACAGAGGTATCCGTTTCCATTCAGCAGTTAGTGTACATTTTGCTTTGTGAATGATTGCAATCACCTGAACATAAGGCACTCTTTCTTGAACTCTGGCCTTCTTGTTTCCATTTGCCCTTTTCCCCTGCCTCTTCCCACTGTCTGAGCTGTGTTTTTAGGCAAATGCTGTGCTTGTGGTCCCATGTGGTTGGTTGTACTAAGAAGTACTTTTCTGTAAGCCTGTCTATTATTTGACTGAAAGTCAGTCTCTGGAGGTGGATTCATTTCCAGGCTTAAAGGGAGTCTGATAGCCATGGCCTCAATGGTTCCACTAGGCTCTGTCAGATCAGTGTTGCTGTGTACCACCCAGTTGGGACTGACTCATAGCTGACCTTCCAGCAGGATTTCCGGGGCAGTTAATAGTACAGGAGGAAATTGCCTCTTTCTTCTGTAGAACAGGAGGTGGATTCAAACTGCGTGCCTTAGGGATTGCAGCACAGCTCCCTGCAGGTAGGTCACCAGAGCTCCCTGCCAGACCAGTGAGTCTGGTACTTTTTATGGTTTTTCATTTTGTTCTACAACTCCCCCCACCTTTCACTTCTATCGGAGTGGTCTGTAGTATCATCTAGTCACAATATAGTTCTGCTGGTCTTTGGGTAGTGAAGGCTGGGATGATGTGTTGATGTGCTCCAATCATCTTTTGGACTAATTTCTTGGAGTTGTAGTTGTTTTCCTTTTTTTAAATCTTGCTTGCTTCAGATGAGGTAAGACCAGTAGTTGCATCTTAGATGGTCGCTTGCAGGTTGTTCAGGCCCTGATTGCTACTTGTCGGTGTAGAGCGTTGTCACTGAAGCATGCCAACTGAAATCTGTAATTTTAGAATCCCATCATTTATAAATTCCAGGAGTTTTAACTTTATTCCTAACAAACATTTTAGCCAGCAGTGAAATTGACACATTTTCCTTTCAAGGACTGTCCTCTCCTCCTCCAAGGGTGGGCTTCGAGGGCTCTGGTAACTTAGCTATAGAATGTTATGCTGCTAACCCAGAAAGCTGCAGCTCTCTGGCACTTCAAATCCTCGTTGAACCCCACCCCATCCACTGCTCAGGAGAAAGCTAGGCAGTTTCCTTTTGTGCAGTTTACAGCCTTGGAAACGCACTGGAAGGTCAGCTATCAGTTGGAACAAACTCGACAGCAATGAGAGGAAGGAGAAGAAGAGTCAGATTAGTGACCTATAAGTAAAAATAAAAGGTCTTGGAAGATCCACAAAATAGTCAAATAAATCTGAGTAATCCACTTTGTTTAGGAAAGCTTGGCATAATGAGGGGATGTTTCTCTCTTCTTTGAAACCTACCTATGTGCAGTGTTTTACAATTACACAGGTTTAAAGATTCAAGGTTGTCTAATGTGACAGTGATTCTAAGAGGTTAACTTAAAAAAAACAAACAAAAAAACAAAACAAAACCCAACGGACTATAGAAACTGTGTTCTTGACCTCTGAATTTTGTTGTTGCAAATAAGCTGTACTGTCTGGATTCCAGGAGCTATTTCTTCATATACTTCGAGAACGCCAGAATACCAGGTGACAGCTGTTTTAGCTCTAAGACATTCCTCAAGTGTCCTATTTTCATGTCATTATGTAATACTTTCTCTTGGCATAGCTATCATCACTCAGTATCCTTGTTGATATATATCATTGCATAGTTCTCTTCACTTTTATCATCCATATTGTGTTTCCAAATGGACATTGGTTGTCTGAATATTAGAAGAAAAAAAGAAGGAATAATTCCAGTAACATCTCAAATTCAATCAATGTTCTCTCCTTGATTGGAAAGTTCTTTATAAACAACAACAACAACCCCAAAAAAAAATACATGAATTAGAAGTCCTTCACCCTTCCCAGTCCTTCTTCTCTTTAAAAATGTTAATTCATTCTTATTTTTTTCCCCTTATTAATGGCACATATGCAAAAGAAGCGCTTATTGGCTGAATTATACACATGGGAAAAAATGTTGCGGTAACAAGTGTTGTGTTACGTATATTTAGAATAGTAAAAAGAAATCAATTTAGCATCTAGAGTGATCCTTCAAAAAGAAAGAATGGCATTACCCTTTTGATGTAACTTCAGTAGGTAGTGAGAGTTGAGGAAAACTGATAAAATGCATCAACAGCCTCAAGCTCTGTGGCTTCATAATAGGCCACTCAAGGTAAAGTTGCAATTATAATAATTTACTTTTTTAAAATAAAATGTACTTGTTTAGTTTTTCAGCCAACCTTTACCTTAGTCACTGTTGTCTTTGCTAAACAAAAAGACAAGTTCACATCCCCAAGCATAATTTTCAGTTTACTTCTACATATATTTCTGAGTGCCCACCATAGACCATAATCTGTTCTAGGCCTCAGTACTGTGTAGTCAAAATAAATTTGTGTCAGTACCTCTTGGTAAGAACAGATAGTTTGCCAAGAGAGACAGACATCACAATTTAAACAATAATGTGCTGAGTATTATAATGTAGGCATAGATGTGGTTCTGAATGTTCTTGGGGTGGAGGTCATGAAGGCTTAATGGGGACAAGGACACAGGGGTAGGGGTGCTGATGGGTATTTGTACTGGCCGCCTTCAGGGAGGAGGAGTAGGCTCCTGCCAAAAGAAGGAGCTGAAGGAGGGCATTCGGGGCAGAGGACACAGCGAGGACAAGCGCCCTGGCAGGGAAGCACATGACGAGTGCTTTCAGAAATGGCGAGTGGCTCATATGTTTGTCAGTCGGTGTGTGTTTGATATGTGGTGTCCAGCTTTGTACCAGGTCAAGTGAAACCTTCATTTAGGTCTAGTTTATTAAAGATCTTCAACACTTGGCTATCAGGAACTTTTATCTGTATTCTGTAGACAATGAGGTCCACCAGAGACTTTCTGACAGGAAGTAATGTAATGAAATCTCCTAGGCTTTGAAATTTAAAAGTAGTTTCCTGAAGCTATGAAATATTTTGCCTACAAAGGCACTTGGGCGCATCTAACTCTCGCCTTTTATTTTAATCGTGAAAATTGTGTGACTCCATTTCAGCTTTTATATCCCAGGACTTCCTGAGTAGTGCACATCGTCAGTACACTCAGCTGCACACCAGATTGAGTTCACGTAGAGGTGCCTCTGAAGAAAGGTCTGGAACTGGAAAGCTACTTCCAGAAAACAATCAACCCCTGAACACTCAAGAGAGCACAATTCTATTCTAACTCACATTGGTGTCATATTTTATATATTTTCACTGACACAATATATACTGAAACAATAACATATGCTGTTGTTTTATAGATAGTTATTATGGCTTGTGTTGTTGAATATAACTCATAGTGACCCTTGAAGAGTGGATCTGAAACCTTGCCCTGTCTTGTGTCATACTCATCATCTCCAGTATACTTGAGCCATGGTTACAGTCACCATGTCAATCCATCTCATGGAGAATCTTACTCTTTTTCACTGACCCTCCGCCTTTCCAAAAACATGATGCCCTTTTCCAACTACTGGCCCCTCTTAACATCATGCTCAAACTATGTGAGATGAAGCTTCTTCATCCTCACCTCTGAGGAGCACCCTGGTTGCACTTTTTCCAAAACATACTTGTTTCTTCTCTTTGCAGACCATGTAATATTCAGTATTTTTCTCTATCATCACAGCTCAAAGGCATTGATTCTTCAGTCATCCTTATTCATTGTCTAACTTTGAGAAGCACAGCAAGTAAATGAAAAGACCATAGCTTGAATCAGGTGCACCTTAGTCTTTAAATTGACATCATTGTTCTTTAGCATTTTAGAACGGTGCCTCACAGCAGATTTTCTCAGTGTAACATGCCTTCCAGTGTCTTGGCTGCTCGTACCAAGGCTGTTGACTATGGATCTAAACAAAATCAATTAGTTGGTAACATCAATCTCTTCTCCAGCTCTCAAGATATTGTCTATTGACCCAGTGGTGAAGAATATGCATATATATATATATATATATATATATATATATATATATATATCCAAAGCTGACACTCCAGCAGGTTTTCAGAGACAGCTTATCAGACTGGAGTAGATTGCCCTTCTTTCTCACATGGAGCAGCTGGTGGATTTGAATCTCATGTCTTTGATATTGCAACTCAGCTTCTTGCCAGTAAGCCACCAGAGATATCTATATCTGTCTATCTAGATAGATATAGAAATAGATATATATGTTTGAGAATTGACAATTTCCGTTTGCTTTGTTCCATAGTTAGCACTCTTGGCACCAGCAGTCAGAAAGTCAAAAGATTAGTTGCATTAGGAAAATAAGCTATTGACAGTGCTGAAGAGCAACAGTGTCAGTCTTGAGACTACGGTGTGCCTGATAATACAGACTATGGTCTTGGCAATTACTTGTTCTGCATCAGAGAACTGGACAATGACCAAAGATGACAGAAGAAGAATTGATGCATTTGAGTTTTGGTGCTAGAGTACTGAATAGACCATGGATTGCCTAGAGAACAAACAGATCTGTCCTGAAGAAAGTGAAACTTAGCTGCTCCTTGAAGGCAAGAATTTTGAAGCTTCATCTCACATACATCAGGCATGTAGCCATGAAGGACCAGTCCTTGGAAAAGGATATCATGCTTGGAATGGTAGAGTGACAGCGCAAGTGAGGAAGACTCCAGATAAGATGGATTGACACAGTAACTGGGATAATGAGGGTAGGTTTGTCAGAGTCTGTGACATTGGCAGGGTTCAGAGCTATGTGTACAGGCTTGCCATGAATCTGAGTCAACGGCACATAATGACAATGTAATTCTATAACCCATTCTAGGCCTCAGTTCTGTAAAGACTGAATAAAATGTTGTTATACCTTTTACTAAGAAATGATGGTCTTCTAAGAGAGACAAATATCAAAATTAGAAATGTAATGTGCTGTGCATTATAATGTAGGGGTAGACGTGGTCTTGAGTGTTCCTGAAGTGGAAGTCATGGGGACAGGACACAGGGGTGAGAGGGCAGTGCTGAATATGTGTACTAGACAACTTGAGGGAGGAGGATTAGTTTTCTGCTAAAAGAAGCTGCAGAAGAGAGCATTCTGGGCAAGGAACATGGTGTGATCACAGATACATTGGCAGGAAGTAACATGGAGAGGGCTTTCAGAAATGTATGTATGTATGTATACACATATATATATATACATACATTTATATATGTATGTATGTGTGTGTGTATCCCTAACAACAACAAACTTACTTGTCATTTTTTATGTGTAGAGAACATTGTTCTACTTGATACAGCACTTGTCTGTCTGTTTGCTGTACTGGATAATGCCAGTGGTGTGTCAAAGGCTACAAGGGTTACCCATGGTGGACAGGTTTTAGTATAAGTCTCAGATTCAGACAGATTAGGAAGCAGGATTGGTCATCTGCTTCTTAAATAACAGGCCTCCGAAAACCCTATGAACAGTAAAGGATCGTGGGTAATTATAGTATTAGTGACAAAGCCCAGTTTGGAAGTCAGTCGATGGCACAGGATAGAATAACATTCAGATCTGGTGTTCATTGAGTTGCTATGGGTCCTGCTTGATGGCACCTAACAACAACATATCAAAGATAGGTGGTTCTAATCCACCAGCTGCTGCTACTCAGGAGAAAGATGGACAAATCTCTGCTGCTATGATTTCACAGCCTCTGAAACTCTGCTGCAGGGGGTGTGTGTGTGTGTGTGTGTGTGTGTGTGTGTGTGTGTGTCTGTCTCATATTCAACTGAACAACAATGATGAGTATGTGTGCATATGCATATGTTGTTGTCATGTGCTGTCAAGTTGAAACTGACTCATAACCAACCCTCCAGTAGATTTTCCGCGCTTTTCCCCCCCTTTTAGATATCTTCTATATGACAAGGGGTTCTGGTGGTCTAGCGAGTAGGGAGCTGAGCTGCCAACCTAGATGCAAGTGGTTCAAATCTACCGGCAGCTCTGAGAGAGAATCTCCTCTGTCATATGTTTTTGCTGTTTGCCATCAAGCTGGAACCAACTCATAGCTGACTCTCCTCAAGCAAGTTTTCAGAGGCTACAGATTGCCCACCCTTCTCCCACAGAGAAGTTGGTGGAGTCAAACTGCATGCTCTTGGGGATTGCAGTGAAACTTCTTATCTCTGGGCCACCAGAACTCCCTCCATGTCAGATGTACCATATCTAAAAGAAGGGGAGAAAAAGCCAAACAAAAAACCCAGTTGCCACTGAGTCCATTCAAACTCTTAATGGCTTCATGTGTGTCAGAATAGAACTGTGCTTTCAGGGGCTGGTTCTCTGGAAATATCCTTCCAGGCATCTCTAGCAGCTGAGAGCGTTAACCGTTTGCAATATGCAGTAAGCCATATGGTGGGAAAACGGAACCTGAGAAACACACTTTTCATGAGCAAAATAAGAGGCTCTGGAGGCCAAGTACATAAAGAATTGAGCTGCCAATCGAAAGTCTGATGGTTCAAATCCACTAGCTGCTCCATGGGAGAAAGTTGGACAGGCTTCTCACATGGGGTTTAAAGCCACTGAAAAACTGGAGAGTCAGCTATGAGTCAATTCCAACTTGATGGTAATGAGTGAGTTAATTAATATTTGACATAGAACCTTGGAGAAACCATGTATGACCTAGCTTCCCAAAGTGACACCTAGATTCAAGCAATGTCACTCCTGTGCCCTGAGAGGGCACTGGTAACTTCAAAACTGACACATAACAACAACAGTATGGATGGTCAAACCTCAAAGACTAGCCTTGGGGAGAGGAAGGATGGGTGAGGTTGCCCCAGCAAGGTGACAGGTATCCCACATTGTACTTGGAGCGTTTGAGCACTGCAGAGAGAATCTGAACAAGGGGTTGCACCATGATTCTAAGTATCCTTCCTCAGTGAGAACCAGATCCTAAATAGCAACTAGCAGATTGGAAACAGGAGAATGACAGAGTTATGCACAGGAACAGTCTCATACAAATAAACTAGGTTTTAAGCAGCACTGTAATGCTAATAAACTACAGCTAACATTTAGACTAATGGTAATCCCAGAACATTTAATTGCGCTCACGCAAAATCAAGAAGCTGTTGTTGGACAGAGCAAAGGAAACACTGCGTGGTTAAAAATCAGGGAAGGTGTTGTCAGGGATGTGTCCTTTCTTCTTACTTACTCAATCTGTATGCTGAAGAAATCATTCATGAAGCTGGACCCTATGAAGAGGAGCATGGCATCAGGACTGGAGGAAGACTCATCAGCAGCCTGGTATGCTGGTGACACAACCTTGCTTGCTGAAAGTGAGGAGGACTTGAAACACTTGCTGCACAAGATCAAGGACTACAGCCTTCAGCGTGATTTACATCTTAACATCAAGAAAGCAATGTTATCACCACTGCCAATAGACAACATCACAATAGATGGAGAAAGGATGGGAGTTAATTTTCAATTATTTCATCTTGCTTGGCTCAATAATCAACACTCTTTGTACCAACAGTTGGGAAATAAGGAGATGTATTACACTGAGCAAGTCTGCTGTCAGGGACCTCTCCACAATACTGAAGACAGTGATATCAGTTTGAAAACTAAGTTGTGCCTGATTCAGACCATGGTCTTTGCAATCACTTGCTTCATATCTGAAAGTTGGACAATGAATAAGGATGACAGAAGAATTGATGCCTTTGAGTTGTTGCGTTGGAAAAGAGTACTGAATATCCATGGACCGCCAAAAGAACAAATAGATATGTCTGCTTGCACAAACAGGTATGCCTCCACAAA